TTCTGTCATATACTTTTATATTTGCCTCATCATCTGAACACACAGTCCTAGGCACAAAGTAGGTGTTCATTAACTACTTGGTGACTGGTCACTATCAGGCTTGTCAAAATAAGCAGAAAAAAAATGTCAACACTAAAAAGAGCCTGAAATACTCCTTCAAATGCTCTTTCCTCCCCAATGCTTTTTTCTTATTATTAATAAAAGAGTATAATTAAACTGTTCCCTTCTTTCAGAAAGCATAAAGGATGTTATTGGCAGAAAGATAAAAATTTCAGTGAAGAAGAAAGTGAAGTTGGAAGTGAAGGGAGACAAAGTTGAAAACAAAGTGCTGGTAAGTATGATTGTTTTTCAAAGTATTGTTTGAAAGGACAAGTTTTTCCCTATCTGTTGTTTTGATTGCTTAATTTTCATGCAGCGTGAGTTCTGTGTTTTATACTTTGTTCAAAAGTTCTGATGACCGTTTTCTCCTAGGTTAATTGGAATATGTGCCCATTGAAAGTTAAAAGTAGGGTAATTTAAATTTTGGAGACCAAAATTTTTAAAATAGTATTTCTTAAAATTGTTATAGTCACCTACATTGAGGTCATTTCCTAGAGCCTATTTGCAAATTATTCAAAGGTCTGTGTTACATGAAATTTACTTACTAATTTTACTGTGGCCGATTATGATTTTATTTGTGAGGACTTAGGAATTTAAAAAATTCATCTCATGTCAGTTTAATTAAAATTTCTCAAATGTTCTGTCCTAGAGCATTTTAGAGGTGATGATCTGAGAATGTGAAGACATTTGTCATTTTACATTGGTTTTTGGTGTTTCGGAGGGAAATGCCCGCTGGAAGCAGTATCTGCTAGTGCTGAGATGGGAGTTGGGGTTCCCTTGGGTTTGTTGTCAGGGCTGAAGGACTGGACCTTGTCAGGAAGAGTTGTTAGGGAGTTGTCACTGGCTGAGTTGTGGCTTTAGAGTGGTGAAAAGCCTTTTGTGGTATTTTAGTGTCTTCTGTGTTGAGATCATGGCAAGCCTTAAATTTAAGCTTAGGTGTATGTGTACATCTTGTTTGTTTTAGAATATTGTTTATCTTTTTAGCATTGGAAATTTTCATAACATAGGCAAAAGTAGAGAATAGTATAATATATCGCACCGTGCATACTTTTCATTCAGCTTCAACAGTTTTCGGTTTTGCATCAATATCGTTTTACCTATTGCCCTACAGTTTTGGTCTTTTTTTTCCCCCTCCTGGAATATTTTAAAACAAATTCCAGGCATATGACAGTGAAAGAAAATATATTTAATATTCTGTTTCTTCCATTGAAGTTGATACAGAATTCGAAGTGTCTTTATGATAATATCTGTCTTGAGAAACTTTTAAAATATCCGACTGCCTTCCCCATAGATGGTAAGGATTATGTTATTGATGGATGACTTCTGTTTCTCTGTTGTCTGTGTGTACAAGTCAGGAAGGCAGAGAAATTGAAGTGGGAACACTTGATTGAGTGGCTTTTGCCCTGCAACAGAATGTGTTCACAGAGACTACGTGATTAAGGTCATCAATAGCAGAAATGACTGGTGCCATTCTGTTTTATTTAGCTTTAATAAAAGGTTTCTTAAAGTATGTTTTTCTTAATGTTGTTCAACCATAGGATAGTGGTATTTGTTTGGAGGTAGTAGGGTAGAAAGAAGAAATTTTGTTTCTGCTGTTTATATGTTTAAAGTAAATCTTCACAAGATAGATCCAACTTTTTACAACTTGAATATCGAATACTGTTTGCTACAGCGGTCTGACATGGTATGTGGTATTATTTGCTATAGACATTATTTATCATACTAAGAATAAATCCATATCGTAAGTAAAATTTGCAGTTAAAATTTCAAAGACAAATTTAGGTGTCCAATATAATAAAGTTAGCACAGCTTAAAAATAGTTTTATGATTGGTACTTAATGGTAGGGTTTTTTTAGGCTCATCTTAACATTAGCTGGAGTCAGTTAAAGGTGTAACCAAATTACAGATGTATTGAGTGTAAGCATTTGTGTCCCCAAATCGCTCTGGATTCTCTGGAACCTGAGCAGTTTCAGGTGGCTTGGTGTAGGCTTGTTTTGGCTCTTCCGTACTTGCATGGGCAGGAATTATTAACAGAAATAATCGATGTCTGACAAGCCTCAAGTTTGAGCAGGATGGTTGGTCAATGGTGAATTGACCATCTATAAATTGTTCTTTTTGAAGTTTCTGAATTTAGAGACATCCAATTACTTAAATTAAAACATCGGGTCTCTTATAATTTGCACTTCTGACTTTCTTCTGGCTGTCAGTCCACTAAAACAGGTCATAAATGAGTTGGCTTAATATTTTCAGTATTTTTTTTTTGAGTTTTATTTCTTGTTCCATTCTCCCTGTGCTCACTCTTAGCATCCTTCCTTTTTATAAAGCTAGGAGTGTATCATATATTACTTGGTTGCCTCTTTTTATACTTTGAGACTTTATCCTATTTCTTGCTTATCTTCACCTTCCTTGTTTTCACGGTCATAAGAGCTAATATCTGTTGAGCCTCGATCAGTGTGCTAGACGCCTTGCTGAATCCTTAGTTGTGCATTACTTTACTCAGTCCTACCGAACACTGTGAGGTCAGCACCATATATATCTCTATTCGAGGAAATTGAGATTTGGAGAGGCTAAAGTAACTTGCTTTAGGTCATCCAGCTAATTAATAACAGTGTCGGATTTGAACCCGAATCCTCTCACTCAGAGCCTGTCTGCTTCACCATTCTGCTTACAATAAAAAGAAAATATCCTTAGGGGTGCTTAGGGGTTGTTAGGTTTCAACCAATGATGGGGAAGATTTGGGCCTCAGAAGAATCAGTACTCCCTATGTATTTGATTGTTTGATGCACTAATTTGTTTCATACTAATTGAGCACCTACTGTGTGACAGGCACATGGTATGTACAGGATGGTCATAGTCTCTCACTTCATGGATTCAGAGCTCACAGTCTAATTGGGATGAACCATGTCACAGAGGCAGTGCTTGGAGATGTGCTGTGAGTAGAATATTTGGGGCTCTGTTAGCCCTTAGGAGGAAACCCTAACTCAAGCCTGAGGGTCAAGGAAGACTTCCAGAAGGAAGAAACCTAAGCTGACCCTCGATGGATGAGTGGAAGCTGCCGAGGGGAGAGTAGAGACAAGTTCTGGACAAAGGGAACAGAGGCCTGGAAGCCAGAGAGAGCGCAGCATGTTAGGGAAATGCTAAGTTCAACTGGACCAAGGAGTGCGAGACAGAGAATGGCCAGTGACAGAGCTAATTCCTTTCCTTGCAACTGGGATATCAGGTGAGAGGTGGAACTGGTTGAACAGGTCTCTTTTTGTCACCTGTTTGTAATGACCTTTACGTGAACTTTACCCTCCCCTCTCTCTCGGGAGGCGGTTGGTTAAGGACTCGGACTTTGGAGTCATACCTGCTTCACGCTGCAGCCCATCCACTTTATAACACTGTTAAGCCTCAATTCCTTTCTCTAATGAAATAGGTATTATAACAGTATCTGTAAATGGTTACTTTGAAGATTAATCTACTTAGCATAATGCCTAAGTAGCACATGATAAACACCCCAAAAATGGTAAAGCTTAAAGGAGCCAAGGTCCTGCATTCTGTTTTCTTAGTGGCACATAAAATGCTGCTCCTTCTGTTCCACTGCCTTTATTGAGGGGTTGAGCCCAGTTCACCTTAAGGCCAAGAAGATTTATTTACAGTTCATGGCCCCTTCCTAGCAGGCTGGAGTACTACTGGCTAGATCCAAGTTTCCTAAGGTGTGCTCTGGTCCGATGAAATAGGAAATGCTGGGGTGACCAGGGGCAGTGTTCTGTGATCAAATAGGTTTGGCAGTCAGGGTGTTAAAGGAAAATAAACTAGTGTCTTTATTGCCTGGCTTTTCGGAGCCAGGAATACATCTGTGGGCATTGTGATTGCGAGGAATAAGATCAAGTATGCTGTTGGTCAGAGACCCTAGTGAGCACAGGTTAGGAAACGTGGAGCAGACCCGGGATTGTGCCTCCTGGGGTAGTTAACGGGAAGATAAAGCAGGCTGGAATAGGCTGTTGGTCCTGAGGGTGCTCTCCTGTGGAGTGGCCCTTTGGTCCTGTACTTTTGTCCACGTGGTGGGCAGGCCCGCTGTAGGCTGTGTGCTGGTAACATGTCACCTGGTGCTGGAGTATCTTTTGCTCTTGTCTTTAAGGGATGTCATTAAAAGTGATTCTGTGTTTCTTAGTCTCGTAAACCATTCTCTCAATTGCTAATTGAATCTCCACCTAATTTTTGCAGTACCTGGACTTTAAAAAATGTGTTTTAATTTATGCATTTATAAAATTAATATTTCATTTTTAGCTAATTGTAGGTTCACATGCAGCTTTAGGAAATCATATGCAGAGACCGTTTTTACCCTTTATCCACTTTCCCCTATCTTGCAAAATCCCAGTACTGTATCACAATCAGGATATCGACATTGACATTGTGAAACGCAGAACATTTCTGTCACCACAAGGACCCCCTGAAGACACTGCCCTCCTTAGCCGTGCCCACACCCCCGCGCTTCTCTGACTCCCGGTAACTACTAATCTGTTCTCTATTTTTATGCTTTTATTACTTCAAAAATGTTATTTAAGAGTAAGTAATCACGCTATACCCTTTGGGGATTGGCTTTTTTCACTTTGAATAGTTCCCTGGACATTCATCTAAGTTGTGCGTATCCATTAGTCCTTTTTTTTTTTTTTTTNAAGGCGCTGCGGGCCCGGCTCTCCCCCCAGGCGGGGCTCCCTCGGCCCCTCTCCCGGCGCAGGGCTTCTGCGGTTGGGCGGCGAGGCTGCCAAGGGGGGCAGGGGCGCCGAGCCCGAGGCCGCCGCAGCGCCCCTCCCCTGTGGGCGCCCCCCGCGCCGGGGAACCGGCTCCGGCTCTCGCGAGGTGAGCGGGAGGCGCTGCAGGAGGAGGAGGGGAAGGAGGGGCAGGGGGAGGGCCGGGGCCGGCCGGGGAGCGCGCACACGCCGGCCCCCCGCCCCGCCGCTCTCCCCGCCCTCGCCGCGAGCCTTCCGCGTCCACCTAGGGCCCCAGGTGCGGCGCGGGGCGCGGGCGGGAGCCTGGCAGCGGCCGGAGCGGCGAGCCGGGGGCAGGAGGGTCCGCGCGTCCGCCCCGAGCCCCCTCGGAATCCCGCCGGTCCCGGTTCCGCCGCCGGGAACTGCCGGGACGCGTCCTGTGCAGGCAGTAGCCGGGATCCACCTCGTATTGGCAACTTTCTCCTTTTTTTTTTTTTTTGGCGGGGCGGAGGGCGCGGCAACGTTGTATCCCCGCCCCCGCTTTCTGGCCCACGCATCTGTCTGAAAAATTGCGGGACTCGGGGAAGGGCGGGGACCCGCGAATCAGAGCTGGAGCGGCAGCGCCCGCGCGCCTAGAGGGCGGCCATGGCCGAGGAGAGCGCCGAGGTCCCCGGGGAGCTCACAGGTACGGGTCGGTCGCGCGGTCGTGGATTTTCCGCCAGCCCCCGCGTACCCCTCGCCCCCGACCCCCTGCCCTCCTCCGCCGCCCCGCGGGCCCCGCCCAGGCTGGGCGCCCCTGAGGTCGGAGGGGTGGACGGCGGGGTCGCTGGGGGGCGCCGGGAAGTCTGCTCCCGTCTGACCGCCCGAGAAGCCCAGGCGAGCTGGGGCCCCGGGACGGCTCCGCTGGACCGCCGCGAGCCCGGGGCGCCGGCTGCCTCGGTCCTGGGGGTCCTGGAAGCGAGGAGGACCCTTCCAGGCACCGGCCCACGCCGCTGACCTCGGGGACGTCCGGGGAAGCCCAGCACCGGGACGGCTGGCGAGCAGCGGGTCGTCCCCGGCGTGTGCCAGGCATTCCCCCGCCCCCAGGAGGTCCCCGGCGGGAGGGCGCACGGACTTGGGGGAGGGGGCGCCAGTCCGGTTGTAATGACCGAGCCTGGAAGGCGTGGGAGCCGAACTGGGAGCGAAAGGGTTACAGGACTGACGCAAACTCGGACTAGGAAATTGAGGGTAATGATAAAAGCTTTAGTTTGATAATCATTAACCTGTTTTTCCCCACCCCGCATCTCTTAGGAAACCGGTATAGTACCCCGTGTCAGGTGACCCATTCTTTGGCTCCCTTAAGGTTTTGTGTTTTTTTTGAGGGGGGGCGCGGGGTGGATTTTATGTCTTGCGATTTAACTTAACTATGCGGTGGTTAAGATGACAGCTAAAACGAGGTGGGGGAAGGGCTCTGGAAATCCGGCGGTGGGGCCGGGGGTGTAGGGGTGCTGGTGTGTGTGTGTGTCGCATGTGTTGTAACGAGGTACGTGTGTCTGTGCGCCAGGGCTTTGAGCCCCGGTGACCTGTGCCCCTTGCTGTACCACCCTTGGCACACTTCACGGCCTCCACTCCTCAGAAAGGTGCCGTTTGGTCGGTGCTGACACGAGGAAGTTCTAACTGCCCGTTCGTGCGCATTTGAGGAATTTGCCCCCCGTTTCTCCTTAGCCTCAATACTTTGGAGGAGTTGGCGCGCGCTCTTCCATTAGTGGCTAAAGTCAGCGGGTGAAACTTGATGTAAAGAAGCTGTTGCTACGTTTATACGGAAGCTTCTGCTTTTGTTGAATTAAAAAATTTTTTTACCCGAATTTAGGGTATGAAGTTATTCCCCGCCCCTTCCCCATTGTACTGCCGCCTCTTGCGTCTCCCCGAGCCTGAGATAAAGCATCAGCTGCCTTTGCTGGAGGAGGGGTCTATGCGGTTCTGGGAAGCTGACATCTTTCCAACACCCTACTCCGGAAGAAGACACATAGGCTCGGAGCCTCTGAAGATGCCTCCAGAGGCCCCGGAAAGAAAGTTCAGGGATGGGGCGTTTGCCTCCCTGGCCAGGGGATAAGGGTAGCTGAAGAGGGTGGTGGATTTTTTAAATGAGTTGTCTTTGAGCCTGGTAATGAAAAGGTTAAGTAATTACTTAGACCCAAGAGAAAGGGTGGGAAGGATGGGATGGAAATAAGGTGCCTGGTTTATACTGGTGGTTCCCAAAATTTAACTCTTCTCTGTAAATGGAGTTTTTCTGTTTATGAAGTGTTGCCCGTCTCACATATCATTCAACTGAATGACACATGGTTTTGTGATAGGCCTAATGTGTCTTTTTCTGGGCCTTTAAATGATCTAAGTAGTCTGGGATAGGGGAAATTCCTGCACTTGCTCTTCTCTCATTTTAAATGCTCACAGGCCTTCTCTACTCTAATTAAAAATGACAGCCTTGTGTGAAAACCTCAATATATCCCCTTAAGGTAATCCCCAAGGTGTTTTAAACATGTGTTGTGTATCTTTCTGATTATGAAATACAGGCTTATTATTTTAAAAAGTTACATGCATAGAAGAATGCGAAGGGTATATGTCACCCACATCAATACTCTGAGGTAGCTACTTTTAACCTTTTGGTATATAACTTCCCATCTTTCCATGGGTTTACCTTCTTAAGTCAATTTCAGTTGCTCACTTCCCACACTTTTTTAGGGGAGGGAGGAGTGCCTGTACCTGTTTAAAGTTATGATAAGATAGGAGCTGCATGGAGAGCTCCCAGGGTAGTGAGAACCCGTACGTGCCTGTCCCCTTTCCCCCCAATGTTCCACCTCATTGCTGTTCCCTGAATGAGCTGTGCTTTCTCATGTTTTCATGCCCTTCTTTTCACTGGCAGTGCCCTTTCCTCCCCCCTTCTTCACTGTTCTCATATAACTAGGTGACTCTAAACTTTTGTGGGGGGTTTCCAATAAGAATATTTAGATGACCCCTTACTAAACACATTTATTTGTTAACCTGCATATACACTTCATTTAGTGAATCATCTAAAACAATCTGAAATACTGCAAATAGAAGTAAAAAGTCTGTTTTCTACCTGTATCTGTGCACTCACTCTGCTCTGGAAACCAGCGGTCTACTTCCTGCTCCTTCAAGATCCATCTCAGGGGTCCCTTCCTCCTTGAAACCTCATAGAACAAGAAGGGCCTGATCACACCTGTGGTTTGGAAGGGTCACTTTGGTTCATGTAGGAACTGAGGGCTTTGGTGAGAGGTTGGGACTCTGAATGCAGGGATAAGTCTAGGGGGTCAGGAGCTGCTTAGGAGGCAGTTCTAGGAGAGTGGGGGACTGGCTGTCTGTCTTTCACCAAGATTTCTAGCTTCATTTGTAGCCAGAGTAGTAGCAGGGAATGCAATGAGTTTGATTTGAAACCAGTTCAGTTTGGGGGTACTCATGGGAGTCGGGGAAGACTTTCCCGCCACTGCACATTTTCAAGTCTCCGACTTCTCGATTCCTCCTTTTCCATTGCCTTTAGCACTCTTTGGGGGCATTGTACCATGATGGTTTTGGAAGCACAGATGGCCAGGAACACCATTTTCTAGCTAAATTGTTTGGTCCTGGTTCTTTGCCGTATTTCCTAACCTCAAGGTGCTTACAGACAACAGTAATATTTGTATGGCACTGGACGAGCACAGAGAGTTCTGGGGGCCAGAGGATAACCAGCCAAAGGAGTTAATGAATTGCTGTTGTGCTTATGGTCTGCATGCAATCTAGTGTTTCATTATAGTGTCCAACGATGCATTCTGTGTGTGCATTCTGTTGCCCAGCAAGTTGATGTCTAGCCTTGCAGGGACTGGTATTCTGTCATATACTTTTATATTTGCCTCATCATCTGAACACACAGTCCTAGGCACAAAGTAGGTGTTCATTAACTACTTGGTGACTGGTCACTATCAGGCTTGTCAAAATAAGCAGAAAAAAAATGTCAACACTAAAAAGAGCCTGAAATACTCCTTCAAATGCTCTTTCCTCCCCAATGCTTTTTTCTTATTATTAATAAAAGAGTATAATTAAACTGTTCCCTTCTTTCAGAAAGCATAAAGGATGTTATTGGCAGAAAGATAAAAATTTCAGTGAAGAAGAAAGTGAAGTTGGAAGTGAAGGGAGACAAAGTTGAAAACAAAGTGCTGGTAAGTATGATTGTTTTTCAAAGTATTGTTTGAAAGGACAAGTTTTTCCCTATCTGTTGTTTTGATTGCTTAATTTTCATGCAGCGTGAGTTCTGTGTTTTATACTTTGTTCAAAAGTTCTGATGACCGTTTTCTCCTAGGTTAATTGGAATATGTGCCCATTGAAAGTTAAAAGTAGGGTAATTTAAATTTTGGAGACCAAAATTTTTAAAATAGTATTTCTTAAAATTGTTATAGTCACCTACATTGAGGTCATTTCCTAGAGCCTATTTGCAAATTATTCAAAGGTCTGTGTTACATGAAATTTACTTACTAATTTTACTGTGGCCGATTATGATTTTATTTGTGAGGACTTAGGAATTTAAAAAATTCATCTCATGTCAGTTTAATTAAAATTTCTCAAATGTTCTGTCCTAGAGCATTTTAGAGGTGATGATCTGAGAATGTGAAGACATTTGTCATTTTACATTGGTTTTTGGTGTTTCGGAGGGAAATGCCCGCTGGAAGCAGTATCTGCTAGTGCTGAGATGGGAGTTGGGGTTCCCTTGGGTTTGTTGTCAGGGCTGAAGGACTGGACCTTGTCAGGAAGAGTTGTTAGGGAGTTGTCACTGGCTGAGTTGTGGCTTTAGAGTGGTGAAAAGCCTTTTGTGGTATTTTAGTGTCTTCTGTGTTGAGATCATGGCAAGCCTTAAATTTAAGCTTAGGTGTATGTGTACATCTTGTTTGTTTTAGAATATTGTTTATCTTTTTAGCATTGGAAATTTTCATAACATAGGCAAAAGTAGAGAATAGTATAATATATCGCACCGTGCATACTTTTCATTCAGCTTCAACAGTTTTCGGTTTTGCATCAATATCGTTTTACCTATTGCCCTACAGTTTTGGTCTTTTTTTTCCCCCTCCTGGAATATTTTAAAACAAATTCCAGGCATATGACAGTGAAAGAAAATATATTTAATATTCTGTTTCTTCCATTGAAGTTGATACAGAATTCGAAGTGTCTTTATGATAATATCTGTCTTGAGAAACTTTTAAAATATCCGACTGCCTTCCCCATAGATGGTAAGGATTATGTTATTGATGGATGACTTCTGTTTCTCTGTTGTCTGTGTGTACAAGTCAGGAAGGCAGAGAAATTGAAGTGGGAACACTTGATTGAGTGGCTTTTGCCCTGCAACAGAATGTGTTCACAGAGACTACGTGATTAAGGTCATCAATAGCAGAAATGACTGGTGCCATTCTGTTTTATTTAGCTTTAATAAAAGGTTTCTTAAAGTATGTTTTTCTTAATGTTGTTCAACCATAGGATAGTGGTATTTGTTTGGAGGTAGTAGGGTAGAAAGAAGAAATTTTGTTTCTGCTGTTTATATGTTTAAAGTAAATCTTCACAAGATAGATCCAAGTTTTTACAACTTGAATATCGAATACTGTTTGCTACAGCGGTCTGACATGGTATGTGGTATTATTTGCTATAGACATTATTTATCATACTAAGAATAAATCCATATCGTAAGTAAAATTTGCAGTTAAAATTTCAAAGACAAATTTAGGTGTCCAATATAATAAAGTTAGCACAGCTTAAAAATAGTTTTATGATTGGTACTTAATGGTAGGGTTTTTTTAGGCTCATCTTAACATTAGCTGGAGTCAGTTAAAGGTGTAACCAAATTACAGATGTATTGAGTGTAAGCATTTGTGTCCCCAAATCGCTCTGGATTCTCTGGAACCTGAGCAGTTTCAGGTGGCTTGGTGTAGGCTTGTTTTGGCTCTTCCGTACTTGCATGGGCAGGAATTATTAACAGAAATAATCGATGTCTGACAAGCCTCAAGTTTGAGCAGGATGGTTGGTCAATGGTGAATTGACCATCTATAAATTGTTCTTTTTGAAGTTTCTGAATTTAGAGACATCCAATTACTTAAATTAAAACATCGGGTCTCTTATAATTTGCACTTCTGACTTTCTTCTGGCTGTCAGTCCACTAAAACAGGTCATAAATGAGTTGGCTTAATATTTTCAGTATTTTTTTTTTGAGTTTTATTTCTTGTTCCATTCTCCCTGTGCTCACTCTTAGCATCCTTCCTTTTTATAAAGCTAGGAGTGTATCATATATTACTTGGTTGCCTCTTTTTATACTTTGAGACTTTATCCTATTTCTTGCTTATCTTCACCTTCCTTGTTTTCACGGTCATAAGAGCTAATATCTGTTGAGCCTCGATCAGTGTGCTAGACGCCTTGCTGAATCCTTAGTTGTGCATTACTTTACTCAGTCCTACCGAACACTGTGAGGTCAGCACCATATATATCTCTATTCGAGGAAATTGAGATTTGGAGAGGCTAAAGTAACTTGCTTTAGGTCATCCAGCTAATTAATAACAGTGTCGGATTTGAACCCGAATCCTCTCACTCAGAGCCTGTCTGCTTCACCATTCTGCTTACAATAAAAAGAAAATATCCTTAGGGGTGCTTAGGGGTTGTTAGGTTTCAACCAATGATGGGGAAGATTTGGGCCTCAGAAGAATCAGTACTCCCTATGTATTTGATTGTTTGATGCACTAATTTGTTTCATACTAATTGAGCACCTACTGTGTGACAGGCACATGGTATGTACAGGATGGTCATAGTCTCTCACTTCATGGATTCAGAGCTCACAGTCTAATTGGGATGAACCATGTCACAGAGGCAGTGCTTGGAGATGTGCTGTGAGTAGAATATTTGGGGCTCTGTTAGCCCTTAGGAGGAAACCCTAACTCAAGCCTGAGGGTCAAGGAAGACTTCCAGAAGGAAGAAACCTAAGCTGACCCTCGATGGATGAGTGGAAGCTGCCGAGGGGAGAGTAGAGACAAGTTCTGGACAAAGGGAACAGAGGCCTGGAAGCCAGAGAGAGCGCAGCATGTTAGGGAAATGCTAAGTTCAACTGGACCAAGGAGTGCGAGACAGAGAATGGCCAGTGACAGAGCTAATTCCTTTCCTTGCAACTGGGATATCAGGTGAGAGGTGGAACTGGTTGAACAGGTCTCTTTTTGTCACCTGTTTGTAATGACCTTTACGTGAACTTTACCCTCCCCTCTCTCTCGGGAGGCGGTTGGTTAAGGACTCGGACTTTGGAGTCATACCTGCTTCACGCTGCAGCCCATCCACTTTATAACACTGTTAAGCCTCAATTCCTTTCTCTAATGAAATAGGTATTATAACAGTATCTGTAAATGGTTACTTTGAAGATTAATCTACTTAGCATAATGCCTAAGTAGCACATGATAAACACCCCAAAAATGGTAAAGCTTAAAGGAGCCAAGGTCCTGCATTCTGTTTTCTTAGTGGCACATAAAATGCTGCTCCTTCTGTTCCACTGCCTTTATTGAGGGGTTGAGCCCAGTTCACCTTAAGGCCAAGAAGATTTATTTACAGTTCATGGCCCCTTCCTAGCAGGCTGGAGTACTACTGGCTAGATCCAAGTTTCCTAAGGTGTGCTCTGGTCCGATGAAATAGGAAATGCTGGGGTGACCAGGGGCAGTGTTCTGTGATCAAATAGGTTTGGCAGTCAGGGTGTTAAAGGAAAATAAACTAGTGTCTTTATTGCCTGGCTTTTCGGAGCCAGGAATACATCTGTGGGCATTGTGATTGCGAGGAATAAGATCAAGTATGCTGTTGGTCAGAGACCCTAGTGAGCACAGGTTAGGAAACGTGGAGCAGACCCGGGATTGTGCCTCCTGGGGTAGTTAACGGGAAGATAAAGCAGGCTGGAATAGGCTGTTGGTCCTGAGGGTGCTCTCCTGTGGAGTGGCCCTTTGGTCCTGTACTTTTGTCCACGTGGTGGGCAGGCCCGCTGTAGGCTGTGTGCTGGTAACATGTCACCTGGTGCTGGAGTATCTTTTGCTCTTGTCTTTAAGGGATGTCATTAAAAGTGATTCTGTGTTTCTTAGTCTCGTAAACCATTCTCTCAATTGCTAATTGAATCTCCACCTAATTTTTGCAGTACCTGGACTTTAAAAAATGTGTTTTAATTTATGCATTTATAAAATTAATATTTCATTTTTAGCTAATTGTAGGTTCACATGCAGCTTTAGGAAATCATATGCAGAGACCGTTTTTACCCTTTATCCACTTTCCCCTATCTTGCAAAATCCCAGTACTGTATCACAATCAGGATATCGACATTGACATTGTGAAACGCAGAACATTTCTGTCACCACAAGGACCCCCTGAAGACACTGCCCTCCTTAGCCGTGCCCACACCCCCGCGCTTCTCTGACTCCCGGTAACTACTAATCTGTTCTCTATTTTTATGCTTTTATTACTTCAAAAATGTTATTTAAGAGTAAGTAATCACGCTATACCCTTTGGGGATTGGCTTTTTTCACTTTGAATAGTTCCCTGGACATTCATCTAAGTTGTGCGTATCCATTAGTCCTTTTTTTTTTTTTTTTTTTTTTTATGGCTGGGCAGTATTCCATGGTGTGGGTGTGCCACAGTTTGTTTACCCACTCACCCACTGAAGGACTTGGGGGTTGTTTCCCACTTTGCTATTAGGAATAAAACTAATACAAACATTTGGTTACAGACTTATGTGTGAACATAAGTCTTCATCTCTTCCTGGTACATGCCAGGGAGTGCAGTTGTGGGCTTGCACTGGGATTGCCTATTTCATTTTGTAAGAAACTGTCAAACTATTTTCCAGAATGGCTGTACCATCATGTAGTCCTACCAGCAGTGTAATGAGTGATCCAGTCTCTCTCAATCTTTGGCAGCATCTAGTATTAACTGGGCTGTTTGTATGTTTGTTTTTTTAAGAACTAATGATTGAAAGAAAAATATTGTCAGGAGCAAGCAAGGTCCTTAGTGACCTCTTCCCTCCCGGGTCCCTACTGTTGCCTGTCTCGGGGAGAGGACTGTGGTGTCCGTTCTCTGGGATGGGGCCTCTGACATGTGTGGACGATCAGTCCCTGGTCTCAGCTTTGTTTGTCATTTTTCATTTTGGAGTTTGGATATCATCTTTGCCAAC